TGGACTGGTCTGCAGCAACACCAGGTTTCCAGATCATCTTTTGAGTCAGTCCAGTAAGTTTCAACCGTCAGAAAAAACATCTTTGAGTTTGACTAGCGAATTTCAGTGGAAGATCCCTGTGAACAAAGTCGATCCCCATTCACCTCATTCTCAGTCTTCGGGCCAAATACTGTTGTCATATATTTACACCCAAAATCACATATTCTCCAAGGTGACATGATGCTAGCTAAAAACAAACACAGATCATAGACTGTATATAAGCACAGACGCATAATTCCACTACAGTGCATGGACCACACGCTGGACTTGGAGAGAGGCTCCATGGGCTGACAAGTGACGGCGCTGATTCGCAGGTTCAGTTTTCTCCGCTGTCAATCACCTCTTGGAGGCGGGTTTTTGACGTCACAGATTCTAGCTAAAGCATATCCCTAAACGAATGCACTGTATATAATGGATATAGTATTTTCTGTAAGGTTGTATGTTGACTGTTGAAAATAAATTCCTTCCGGGAAAAAGAAGTGCATTCCCTTGCATTAAAAACATGCAAACATTCCCCTGGACCGCACTTAAAGCACTGCTTGAGACACATAATTCGACTGACAAACCCTGTCAAAATGTCTATATGTCGTAATTTGACAAGAACAGGGGACTGTTCCTGGTCTGAGGAGCCAGAAGACGAGGAGATACTCGAACATGGTGACTGATAGAAAAGAGGCCCCTTTCACCCCAACAATGGTCAGTGAACAGAACAGCTATTTAAAAGGATCAATGTGAGGGTGGACTTCTGCCCCAAACCCAAGAGGAAACATCTCTCTCTCAAAGTGATGCAGGTGGATGGATGGCAAACACAGCAGAAAAAGGCTAGAGTCACACATGGAGCCCAGCTCCTGGGTCTTAATAGGCTGTAAGAAAGTATTGTATATTTATAAAGTGCATTTTATAGACCATGTCACCCCCACACGCTTTACAATGTTCAGAGTTCAGATATTGTTCCATTCTCTCCACACGGTGATGACAGAAGCGAGACGCACACTAGCGCAACAAAGCCCCCAATTACTCACTCACTAATTTACGTTCATACCTATTGTGCATGTTTTTAGTGGTAGGGGAAACCGGGGGACCCGGAGGACCCGGAGGAAACCTACGCAGACACGAGGAGAACATGACTCGGATTCGAACCCAGGATCTTCATGCTGAGAAACGATATCCACTCAGCCACCGTGCCGCCCATAGTTGGTAAAGGTGGTCCAAACCACAAATCCCCCAGATTTATGATCATCAACAGGTGAACTACACAATGGTAATATAATTTAAAAAATGGTAAGGGTTATTCCTCTCATGTTTGCAGAAAGAATCACGTTACAGAGTTCCCAAATATATTGTAATCTTTGTTTATTACATATATAATAGGCATGGGAGAATGGCTTCAACCCCTTAGGCGCTAAAGTAATAACATTTTTAAATGAGCTCCTGAATCCATTATTGTTTCCATAATTTATGTTTTGTTTTTCATATAGTTATTTCTATTATAGCTGTTAGTAGCCCTCTATCTCCTGAAGTTTCTGAGCTCCACCTTTCATATCATTTTTGTTGAAAAATCAAATTGTTAACACTTGGACTCCCAGAATTAAGAATTTTCTACAACTCAGATTTTGACTGCCCCCATTCAAACCAATGGAATTCCAAAAAATTCCCCCCAAAACTGGTGATTATTACGGAAGCTTGTTAGGTTCACTTGTGAGTGTTTTTTTTTTCCGCTGGTATCATGTTATTTCTTGATACTTTCATGAAATAACATGATAAATATCATGTTATTTCATGATACCAATTTATCATGTTATTTCATACCAATTTATCATGTTATTTCATGATACCAGTTTATCATGAAATAACATGATACTGTAGATACAGAAGAAGAAGAAGCTGTCAGCTTCTTCTGATAAATTGGTATCATGAAATAACATGATAAGTTGTGTATCATGAAATAACATGATAGTTGTGTATCAGGAAATAACATGAAACATGATATCAGGAAATAACATGAAAGTACTGGTATCATGTATACCAGCGGGGAAAAAAACACACTCACAAGTGAACCTAACAAGCTTCTGTAGATTATAACTTGAAATACAGAAAACAGTTTGTTGAAATGCTACCTGCTAGCAGGTAAACAGTGTGTTGCTATGGTAAATGTGGTAACCGCTCACAAATCAAAAATAGTGGTGTAAATTCTATCCTACATATAGAAACATAAAACATGATAATCTAACATGTTCATAATTTACAGACTGTGGTACATAATCGCACGTCCAAAGGTTCTGGTGCTAATATGCTGCCCTCTGGTGGTACAGAGGAAAAATCAAACTAGGAGCAGTAAACCTAGTGGAGCCAAGTGACGTTGTTGTCTTTCTTTATTACAAGCAGAATGACAATACAGTGTTTCGCCCTTATTTGCTACAGACAGGCTGACAAAGGTCAACAAATAAACATATTTTAAAGTCTTTTTTTCCAAAAGAAGAAACCACCTGTTTGGTAAATACAGACGCAGCTGTAGAGGTGTGAGATATGACACAGATTCCGATTTGACAGGATGAGCAGCCGCTGTTGTGCCAAAGGACGTAGAAAAGCAGTTTGACATTCTCTTTCGCAGAAAAGGCTGGTGCAATAGAAACCACACAGGCTGGAACGCTTCAATCCCACTAAGTCTTTTGGTCACTTTTTCTCACCTATTAATCTTTGTAGAAAATAAATACATCTTGAGGAAGAGTGAGATCAATGGGGGAGAAACCAATGGGTGATAAAAGTGCGCCATCTGTGTATAATCTAGTGTTTTTATAGCTCTTCTTTTGGTTAAACACTTCCAACATAGCTATAATATAAACTTTTGCTCTAGTATACAAAAATAGCTAAATTAAATATTCACAAGAAAATATCACTGTAAAAAAAAAAAAACCAAGGTGTGATGGGAAAACCAGGCTGAAATGTTAGAATTCATTAGCGTCATGGCAACAGCACAGTGAGGCAGGACGGTGCATCACGAGCAGGTCTTAATGGAGGTCCGGAATTTGATCCCAAATCAAACAGATAAACATTAAATTCAGACTTATTTTACAGATGAAATAATACAAAAAAATGTGCCCAATATATAACGTACTGCACCATGAACAAAACATATGGTAGTACTCTCCAGTGAGACATTCAAAATACATCTGTAGTTGTGTTATGAAAGATAAGCTTTGGACAAATAGAACTGTTGTATAAAAAAGGTGTATTCCGTGGAAGCTACATTCTTCAAAGTGACAGACACAATAAACAGTTCAACATTCAGTCGATTTGATTGTGACATCGCCTTTTCAAGTCTCCATCTCAACACCCTTACTATCCCTACCACCACCACCCCACTCCATTTCTCCAAAATATATTATTTTTAACATTTTAAGTTACATCCATACATCAACAGTGACTGCCATTGATAAACAGTACAAGACTCGTTTAAGAATACGACATAGGGGGAGGAGCTTAAATATGACAAACATGACAATAGCATTCCCACAGACTTTTGCATAACCATATAAAGCGTGGCTGCAAACGCACAAGCAGACGTCACCACAGGAGGAAGAGCAAGCCATTGAGGAGTTCCACACCAGACGACCCCGATGGTAGAGAGCAGGGCTGCAGGATTTATCAGTAAAGACGCCAAGGATTTTAAGCTGGGGTACGTAACTTTGCCATGAATAACACATGTTGTTAGCTCTGACAAAATGAGCCTTGAACTAAACTGTTTTGAGGAAGTGGATTGAAAATTTGATGCCCCAGTTTTAAGTTCTTAACAAACAAAATACTCGTAATAAGTGTGCCTTGGAAAAAGCCGGGTTTACCATTTGACATGAGAGAGGACTGAAATATTTAAGTCCATTCTCAAAAGCTTATTTTGAAGAAAACTTATTATTTAAACATAATAAGTATTTATTTAAACATAAATTCAAATAAAGGTGACAGCATAAAGTCTGTCCATTTTGATTATCTGCTATAATCCTTAAATTGTGCAGCCCCAGTAGAGTATTAGCCTACTATCGGGTCACCTCCAGTTTATTCACACAGCTGCAGTTGCTCAACATGACCACACGATGGCAAGAGTGAGCAACGGTATGAAATGAATAGGAAAAACATCAGACTTGGCATGCTCAAAAGACAAACAACAAATGAATGGAATTTGACACACAGTAGCAAAGAGAAGAAGGTATCGATCTGAACCACATTGGGAAGATAAATAAACGGTTGCAAATTCTTCTTACACGTATGTACGAATGAATGAATTAAGGCAGGGCGGCGAGAATACTGCACATCCCTCTTGAAAAAACACCATATTTCCTTCCTTCAGCTGAAAAGTGAGTTTGTGTCTAAGGCTTTGTATGTTTTTCCACTTTTGACACCCTTCTCCTTTGGCTCCGAGCCTACTGCTGCTGCTGCTGCTGCTGTGTGGTACCTGTAAGGCAATCGTGTGTCACAACCAAACGCACACTCAACAGGCAAAATTCATGCAAGCATCCGACCGCACGCACACTCATGCACTCACTCGCAAGCATTCCTAAAGGGGCTGAGAGTAAGGACTGCCCTCAACTTGGCCAGACCTTTATATGTACATTTAGGTGATTACAAAGAGGTGAAGAAGGAACAGGCAATGAATGAAAACGACTGAAAAAATATATACAAAAAAGTCAATTTTTTGACATGTTTGACAGGAGTACTCTGTTATGCAAGAAAAACGCATATAGATCCTCCTTTTCCCAGAGGTTTATATGCAATTCCCACATACTGCGTGAAAGATTTGATGAGAAAAGACATCAGAAAGAAACAAATTTGCCAAACAAGTAATGTGATGTATGTGGCCCACACAAAAGGCGTGAAGAGTGCGAACTTGTTCTCTCGTCCGTGAGGTGAGAAACACAGTCGTGCACTTGTAAAAAAGCCAAAACGAAATATACTGGTTCTTTTTGGCTTCATACAGTCGTTTCTGGGCCTGGAGCGTAGTGAGCAAATCCGGCCCCGGACAGGCGGAGCAAGTAGGGGCTGAGGTACAGGTCTGCCCCCCCCCTCTCGGTCAGACCGGTCAGTATCTTTTGGGGGAAGGTGTCCGACATGTGCAGCGACAGGGCCTCCGCGGGGCTCAGGTGCAGGTGGGAGGATTGGGCGCTCGTGCTTCTGTAGGATCGCCGTGACGACAGTGGGGTCAGCTCGGCCACGACCCCCCGCACGGTCTCCTCGTTACTCTGAAAAGAAAGAGAGAAGGCTGTGTTTGAAAAAAAGGGGGAAGAAACAGGACAGCTGATGCTCGCGTTGCTCAAAAAGGTCATATTCAGAAGGTTTGTTTTTGTCCTTTATCCAGTGAAACTATTCAAAAGGGCAGCTACAGTCGTGCAGGAAAGTTTACACACCCAGGATGTAAATGTACCGTACTTTCTGGACTATAAGGCGCACCTGTCTATAAGCATGAATTTGAAAATTAATGTTGTCCACATATAGGCAGCACTTTATAATCCACAGGTTTTCATGTCACAATGTAAAAGACAGATTTAAAGACGAGGTGTTTTTAACTTAACCGTTAGCTTCCATGCCCAAACTCATTCACCAGCCTATTCTGACTATAAATCAGTGTCCTTTGACAATTCTGCCACAACAAAAATACACATGTTAGCCGTATTGTTATATAAACCGCAAGGTAAAAAAAAAAACTGAAAAAAATAGCGGCTTATAGTTTGGAAATTACGGCAATTGCTTATTATGATCAATCATCAATCATCATGATTATGTGAGAGTATTCTTGTAAACTCACCCACTGTGCGCATGTTTGAAAAGGAGATTCAAACACACTCACCATGAGTGTGTTCGACTCATGGTGATGATCGGGGGGGCTGTGACCCCAGGGCAGCTGTGGCTACAGTAGTATCTTATCACCACAGTGTAAAGAGTGAGCGAAAACTGCCATGGGAAGTGTCTTTAGGTATTCAAGCTACATAAAACTCTCTTTTTACTATTAATGTACAGCTTTACCCTCTTAGAAGATTGAAGATGGAGACTTCTGATCAGGGTCAGTTTCTGTTGTCATAATAATTTGAAAAAATGGCCAGAAAAGCCTGGGTGTGTAAACTTTCAAGCACAACTGTATGTAAACTTTAGCAAAAACAATCCCTCTAAATATTTCCACAGTGCCACATGATAGTTGTAGCTTAGTTGGTCCATGTTAGACATGCGCATGAAATGAGAGAAGCAGAAGCATGTTATTTCACCCACAAACACTAGATGGCGTAAGTGCATGTGCTGTTGAGTAGCCCAGCTTGTCTGACAGAGTGAAACCATTTTAGTTTAGAGTTTTATACAAATTCAAGGGAATCAGTTAAAGGGAATCAAATCGTTACAGAGTAAAAGCATCTCCCAAAACCCAGCCTCGGCCTCAGCATGCCCCAAAATACACAACCCACCACTCCCACCACTGTTACCATGGCGTCCTGAGCCCAGCTACGGAGCAGGGCTGTGATTGGCTGAGGTTTTTGGGGCGCTGTGGTCATGTGACATCATGGAGTCATAGGTTCTAGCAGATTTGCCTCCACTGGCCTCGTCGCTGGTCCTACCCACACGCAGAGGCTCTCGCTCAGTGGTAGCAAGGGGTGCGGGGGTCCCAAAGTCATCCAGGACCCCCTCTGTCATTACCCTCTGTGGATAATTGTACAGGTCATATTATCAAGAATATACTACTGTAATACTAAATATCCCTGTGTCAATATTTTCCCCAAAAGAAAGGCAAGAACAAATGAAATGCAACGGCCAAGGAGCGTCACTGTAGATGTCACAAATGCAACAACATCCCATTTTTTAAGAATACTAATACTTACCATAATTTAAGACTTGAAAACAAACTTACAAACTCACAATGAAAGTGAAAATGGGAGATGAAGCGTTAAAATAGGTGTAGGTTTAGATGGACGGCAGAAAAAAGCCAAAAAGAGAAATATGACTCTACATGTTTGTTAAAGCTGGGGTACCAACATTTTTACAACTTGTTTGACTCGACAGGAAGAGTCTAAAAGTAAAATGTAAAAAACTGAATCAAAACAATAAATGCTGTCTTAAACTTATTAGAAAACATGTTTGCGTTATTATAAAGAGCCCCGTGAGTCACTATTGTGGAGCAGACTGTGGCTGAGTGAGGGTGGTCCTTTCTTTTTCACTTTTCTCTCAGGAAAAATCTGATCCAAAGATGTGGAATGCATGTGAAAACTAGAGATTAAAAGGTATTGTTTTGATAGATAAATGCAGGTGAAACTCAGGATAATAGAGAAAAAGTTATATTTATCTAATTTAACATCCAATGTGAAACCAGTGTATGAGATAGACCCATAACAGGCAAAGAGATAAACAAAAAAATAAAAAATGGCGCAATCATTACCTCATATTATATAACCTTTGTCAGTGCATATGTCATGGGGTTTGTCACAAGTTTGATGATTATGGCTTTGAGCCCGTTTCAAAATATTCTAAATTCCTGAGATGTTTTATTTGGGGTTTTTACAGCTATGACCCAATCTCACTTTGAGTGAAACAAGTCTGTCATATATTAGTTTCACATTGAAAGCTGAACTATAGGAAGTTAATAGACTTTTTGAACAATATTGAAATTGTCTGAATTTCACCTGTAGTTCTATTTTTAGTGGTTTACGAGTTCAGTACCCCAGCTTTAAATTGGGACATTACAACATGCAGAGGTGACATGGGCTAAAAGCGAGCGTCACCTCCTGTTCCTGCTCCTGCCGACTGTGTGAACCAATCAGAAACTCATTCTGCTGGAGGACTGAGAAAGCATGAAGATGGAGGATGGCTCCACTGTAAGGCACGGGCGAGTGGACTGCAGTGACCACCAGAGACCGCAGCGGCAAAGGCCAAGAGGAGGATGAGGAGGATGAAGAGGATGAAAGGAACGGAGATGTAAGTGGTGATGACAAGCGTTTAAAAGACGGACAGTGAAAGGAAAAGGTGATAGAAGAAAGGGACGATGGTGTGAATATGGATAATAAGGGTCCATCAGGAAGCGCATAGGAGAAAAGAGGAGAAAAAGCACAGCAGGAAGAAATCTGTCAGAGCGGTCTGTCATTTTCAGCTGAGCTCAAGTCGAGCCGCAGGTGGCAAAAGGTCAAACTAAATAATGCTCAAAGACATTTGGCTCTGGGCCTGTTGAGGGCAGGGAACTCGTTTGAGTGTAACAAATCTATGTCTTCCCATTATCTTTTTTATGTATGCATTTTTTAATGCAAGGGAGTATATACAGTGGGTTGCAAAAGTGCCAACACAACTGCTACGTGTTGTTCTGTTTATGAAGAAAAACATATACATTTTATTTTCTACCATTCTATTATATATTATATCTTGTGTTTTTGTGTTTATATGTATCCCCATAATGGATAATTAAAGTTATTTGAATTGAATAAAAAATATAAAGTTTACTGTGAAATTAAAGCAATTTAAAGCAAACCTTTTTTTGTCAATACTAGCCGTTGACCGATATGGTTTTTTCAGGGCCGATACTGATACGACAAATAAGAAATAGGAAAATCTCTATGTAACAGGTGTTGACTTGTGTTCTGTGTGATTGTTTAATGTCCTGTTATTTAAGGTAATTATGACTGAACTATAAAGTTAAGGCACAAATACAAATAAACTAGACTAATTATTTGACTAGGAAAAAAATAAGACAAAAGTAAAAGTAATCCGACACCAGAATTTAACATTAGTCGTTAATATTGGTCGTTATCAGTGCCAAAAATGTATATCTTCTCAAATGACTGTAGTATATTCTTTGGATAGTAGTTTTAGAATAGATTAATATCTTATTTTTGATACATTTGCCCAGAAACAACCAGAAATCAATAAAGTTTCTCTTCAATTATCTTAATACAATCCCATTCATTATGTCCAAGATACACTTTGCTATCGCCATGATCATAAAACACATTATTATCACTCAACGCTCTCTACGTAAACCAAAACATACGGAGAACATTCCCAGGATTGTGTTTGTGATCTCACCTGTGCGCGCTCGGTCGCAGTGGGACACATGGCCCGACACAGGACCTTCTTGATGACATCTGGCAAGAGGCTGATGGTGATGAGCAAGATGATGCTGAGCCAAGCCGGACCACTGGAGAGCATCTGCATGAACACGTAGTACATCCTCTGGTAGTTGAGGAACGGCCTGTACGAAAGAAAAACAAAAATTAACATTCATTTTTCGAAACGCGTTTACTATTACTGTAGTAAACTTTGACGCAATACCAAATGATGCCGCCCCAGAGAAGCGAGAAGATGACGTAAAAGAGTAATGACCCCCAGATGACAAAGTGATTGATCCAGGTCCAGTGGTGTGTATCCAAGGCAAGCTAAAACAGAGAGAATGCATACATAGTAAACAGTGGCACGGGTCAATACGCTCGATACCAGAGTGGCTTCGGGCTTTTAGAGCTGCGCAAAGTTAAAACCAGTTGCAAGCGCAGTCCATCATTTATGTAACAGCCTGGTAAACATGTGCTACAAGCTTATTATCTCCCCACGCACTGTCACAGAGCCGGGCCATTCAAATCTCCTTTTCAAACATGCACACAGTATAACAACCATATCTTAGCAGATTTTAAATGTGTTAATGATGTTAATGTGTTAGCCTCAGGATCAGGGGGTGACTAACCACACCCACAGGTTATTCATCTCCAACTCGCGCCTGAGCTTTTATTTTCTTGAGAAAGTTCTTTGGATTAAGAAAGAGAAATCGGGAAAACTTGCTCACTGAAACGCAGATGATGGGTGAGCATTTCTTTGTTTTAAATATGGATAAAGTCAAAGCATAGATCATTAAAATCTCTTTAAAGCACCATGGTTTTTGTTAAGTTTTGTTTTTGCTTCATGTAACAAAACAACCAAAACATGCAGCGAGGGACTTTGTGAAGATCCCAGACAACACGAGTGAGTATCCTACATTTGTCTAAACACATACATTTTTTGTTAACGTTTCTAATCTAAGTCTGTTTTTTTCCCCGTGCTCTCAAACGCATCGCTGTCCGGGGTCTCATTGCAATCTGATTGAGGTACTGTATTTATTGCTCTGCAGTCTGCACCAGTTTCTCCAAACAGTTTATCCCACATCAATGGCCCAAATGGCTTTACATGCATCTTATTATCAATTATTATCAATAAAATGTAAATGGATTATGTGGAGAATTTGGTTTTCACTCAAAGCACCATGACGGATTCTTACCTTTAGTGTCACGGTGAACACAAGCACAGTGAAGACCAAAGTCCCAAATGTCCAGTTGCCAAACATCTGCGAAGGAAATGACATTGAAGATAAATAAGCTTTAAGCTTTATTTATATACGCAGAATGGTTTAATAACTACATCGATTTGACTGAACACAAAAGAAACTTCATCACAAATGTTGAATGCAACAAAAGATGATTTGTTTTACTACAACTACTAAATAGAATATTTAGTATATATAGAGTATTATAGGGTTAGTTCTGTACAACATGTTAGATTCCAACTTAAAGCTGGGGTACCGAACTTTCAAACCACAAAAACCTATGTAATGACAGGGGATAATCAAGGGTTTTCTTTTATCTTTATTTGAGTACAGTCTTAAAACAAGATTATCCAAAGGGACAAAGCCATTTAGTCTCATTTCAAGAATTGTTGATTATTTTCTCATTCTAATAAAGATATTTCTTGTATCTTTTTGAAACAAGATTATTGTGTTTGTCCCACACAATAATCAATCAAAGGCAATCAAAATGTGCTCAAAATAAGATACATTTAACCAAAGCTGAGGAATGTATTATTTATATTTACTTATTTATTTTTCATCACTTTTTGCAGCGTATGCAAGTACTTTTTGGTGAGACTTATTTAGATCAGCTTTTTCAGACACTAGAGGGGATATAAAGAGGACCACTCTTGCTCAACCGATAATCGAAATTGGGCGGCACGGTGGCTGAGTGGATAGCACTCTCGCTTCTCAGCAAGAAGGTCCTGGGTTCGAATCCCGGTCGGACCAGGGCCTTTCTGAGTGGAGTTTGCATGTTCTCCCCGTGTCTGCGTAGGTTTCCTCCGGGTACTCCGGTTTCCCCTACCACTAAAAATATGTACAATAGGTGACCCTGCTCCCATCTCTGTGTGGAGTGAGAGACAAATGCCCAAAAAAAATATAACAAATTGTAAACCGCTTTGTGACTCTGGTCTGTGAAAGGCGGTATATAAATAAAGATTACTTACTTACTTAATCTACCAAAGCATCAAATAGTGACTCATAAGGCCCATTCTACTGTATTTACATGCATAAGTCCAACATGATTTAAATTGCATTTGTTCAGACGATTTTAATTTTACAAGTCTCTTTCTGTTGAACAAACTAAATTATTATAATCTTTTTATGAGGGGAAAACGTTAAGTACTCCAGCTTTTAAAAAAAGAGTTGGACTGAACAAAACTGCAACTTTATTAGAGATGTTGAATGCAAAAAGTGCAACAAAAGATGATTCCTTTTACTACTACTTTTACTACACTGCTTTATCTTAGTTACTTTTGGATCAGTTCTGTGTTGCATGTTATATTTCCTAGTTTTATCAATCCATGTTATTCGTTAGTAAGCATATGCACATATAGACAAACTCATTACTCCACAAAACTCACAGACAGAGAGACAAACAGATGCTGAATCAGGATCTAAAATGCTCACGTTGCTATTGCCTCTAGCACAACAAAACAAAAGGATAATGTGAGGGTGGATCTTAAGGCTTCTACTATGACAGCGGAGTTGTACGGATCAGGTGCTGGTGCAGGATTTACAGAGATTAGGAGGAGTAATGTCACGAGAGGAAAAACGTGAGTGAAATGACAGGTTGCATGAGTGGTGCGGAGAGCGTATACACATGGGTGCCGATGGAGTGGTCAAACGGAAAGCTTTAAAAACGAAAAAAAGAAGTGACAGAACAAAATAAAAGTGAAAGACAGAGCTGACAGGGAGGGGAGACAGGCTTACCATCTGCGTGTTGGTGGTCATAAGCTACAGAAGAAAGAGAAGGAGCAAAATAAAGAGAGACCAGCAGAGAGAGGGGGGAGAGAAGAGAAAAGAATCAGGACAAAGGGCAAAAAATGAATATCAGGATGTTTAAACTCAAAAAACAGGACCACGTGGCATCCAAACTGTTGACATGATACAAATTAACAGTACAGAGAAAGATGCTATTGTCGATATGAATGGCATCGTACTGCATGTTTTCGGACCAACAGGAGTGCGATAGAACAGTATTTGACAAATCCCCAGCACAAGATCTCCACAAGTATATATTTACCACTAATGGAAATGGGAATGAGTTTTCCTTAATTATAGTAACAAGTGCTATACATGTATTATACTTTTATATGTGTACAGCCCCACAAACACGGTAATGAATGTACTGTATAATATGTATAGAATTATGCTCTTATTTGTACCTGGCCATTGCTGGTGAATGTGGTGTTGTCGAACAGGAAGTAGGCACCGAAGAAGAAGATTACAGCGTCGAACACTCCCAGACACGTCCAGTAGAGGAAGACCGGCCAGCGGAGGAGCGAGTTCTTTGCGATATCCCTGAAGAAGACAGAAGTGTTGAGTAAGCGGGCGATATCTCGGTATATTTATGACAAGGCGGATACATGTACGTGCTGGTCACTTCTTAAAACTCCTATCCTCAATTTTGTTCTTCAATGCTTATTTTTGTATGTTTTGAAAAGAGTCTTTGAGTGTCCAAAGCAAGTGCTATACAAGTTTGATGTATTATAGACTTTAAATAGACTTTAAAGCAGCTACGGAACTATGGCCTCGCACCAAAGTACATGTTAGGGCCATATGAACCAACTCGGGCTCTGAGGAGCACAGGGACTGGCCTCCTGCTGGTGCCCAGAGTCAGAACTAAAAATAGGGAGTCTGCTTTTCAGATTCATGCAGCTAAAATCTGGAAGTCAGTTTTGTTTAGCTGTGCACACAACTGAGGGATTTTATATTCTTATCTTTATTTTTAATGCACTGTGATTATTTATGATTTTAATGCCCTGTGTGACTGTTGCCTTGTGTATGATTTGTGCTATACAATTAAAATGTGCCTTGCCTTGTCTTGCTTTTTACTATTATTACTATTACCTGTACAGTGAAGGCTCCTTCTTTAACGTCTCGACAGACACGTGCTGCTCCACTAAGCTGTAGAGGAGGATGGGCAGCGAGGTGAAGCTGATGTTGTACAGTGTTAGGTACGCTGTGTCGTAAAGAGGCTGCGGAGAAAACACACATCAAAGAACGCACACGACACAACGGCCACATCTCTGATCTGGCTCGGATTTAACTTACTTGTTGAGAAAACCCACAGAAAAACTGATACAGGAACTGTGGGAATATGAAGCATACATTCTGGGAAGAAACACAACAAGTGATTAGCCAATTTAAAGTAGAAATATTATGCATCATTTTATATCATTGAAAATTATAATGAGGCTATTCATATTGTCATTTGATGTTCTAGAATGTGGAATAAAATCGTAAGTAGAAATTACGTGGTGCACTAGAGGGAGGCATATAATTTGTTTTTGCCAAATCTGAATTTTACTGGCTGCAAACACCCGACCATGTCAATTATGTCAACATAATTTCACCTGAGAAACTGCCAAAATTAATTTAAGAGCAATACTTTTGTTTTTAAAGCAGAAACTGTGTGATGTCATAGTCGCACAATGACATCATACTACTGGGCTGAGAGGGGAGCCTTTAGACAGAAGGGCGGAGCTACATGTCTGGGCCAGACGTTCCTGATATTAGCCTGGATGGATTTAAAAGCAACTCCATGTCTGTTTTTGTTTAAGGAATATTACCAAAAACGTTTCTGGCTTGCCTAAACACACAACCACGTTCGGCACTTTACAGCCGCAGCCGCCTCACTGTGGCACCTGGTGGTCCTATAGAGGTCTCCCATCACAGTACTATCCAGGCCATGCTTAGCTCCAGAGGTCTGACAGGATCTGGCTTTCACATGTAGGTGGCGCTACAATGTTGTAACATGGTAAAAAGCTAAGGAAGGTTGCTCACCATCACCTATACTTCTGTTAGCAGGTTTTCCGTCGTTGGAAAACCTGCTAACAGAAGTACAGATGATAGAAAACCTGCTAACTGAAGTACAGATGATAGAAAACCTGCTAACAGAAGTACAGATGATAGAAAACCTGCTAACTGAAGTACAAGTGATGGGTGAAAAACCTTCCTTTGTTTTGAATAATATCTGTACGACTGAGCTCTTACACAAACTTTATTGTAGTGGCCAAAATGCACCTCCAGCCTCTAGATATCAGTAGCGCTGGATATAGTCACACCTGTGAGTATTTCAGACAGGGAATTAGTGCAGCAGGTGTCTAGCATGTGTGAGGAGGAACCATTCCACCAAACATTGCAACCTAGTGTTTCAGTGACATAGAACCACTGGGACTCTACACTTAAGGTTAAAAGCTCAAAGTTCTGTTCTGTAAAATGCAGTCTTGTCCACATTTTTGTCCATGTTGCCGGAGTCTGCTGCGAGCTTAGCGTGCTGAGTGGGCCGTGAGGGGGCCCGTGAAGCTGAATGAGTGGACAGGGCAGTGCGTGTGTGTGAAAGACGCCCACACAAATCACTGAAGCCACAAGTCAATGTTGCACGAGGGATCCATGAATCTGACACTGCTCACACATACACTTCATTTTAACCCATTTCCCTGGAGTTTGGAATGCAGTGATTAAGACCCATGGATGACACCACATTATACCTTGTAGAAGAAGTACTGCACGAGCTCAGCTATTCGGATGTAGTAGTAGTGTCCGTGTACAAGGAGGATCTTTTTTAAGTGCTTAAACTTGGGGATGGCATAGTCGCTGTTTCTTGCTGCCTGGCGACCTTCTTTACCCATGATCCCTTAAAACACAAAGCAAAAAAATAGTTACTAAATATATTGTTAATCACTTGAAAAAAAAAACTGGGGTACCTAACTTTTGTTGTTGTAAATAATGCATTTTCTTTGTTCCACAGAACGAGTCCATTTTTTAACATTTATGAACATAGGTCATCCCTCTTTCGATGGACTAATATGGGTTTGTTATTATAGCATTTCCTGTTTTCAAACTGTTTTTCTTATTTGTTGTTGGTGAATTGACAACTTTGTAAAGTAATCCAAGGTGATTACTGTTGTGATTTGGGGCTACAATGTTGTTGAAGAAATCTGACCCCAGCATTCTTTCTTCATTTTATTAGAAAACATGTTATCTCTAGTATCTCTTGTATTAAAGAGCCCTGTGAGTCACTATATGATGCTTTGGGCTGAGAGCTGATTGGTTGAGTGAGGGTGGTCCTCTCTTTTCACTTGTCTGTATTTAAATGCTAATCAGTGTGACAGAGGCCAAATAATACAATCATGTGATAGAACCAAAGCGAGGAACTTTTGATGATGTGGACTTTGTTATTCTTTTTACCTTTGCTATATACTTGTTCTCCTGTAGTTTGAGTTTGCTTCCTGTCTGTTCTGTTAATTGTTTGCCCAAATGTGAAGCTGAAAATGAAAACCTTTTTATGCATTTTTACACTTACTGTATTTGTTTGTTTTGATAGTGTTTTTGACTTGCTGTAGCGACTCGAGATGTGTTTGCATATGTGCGTTACAAATAAAATGCATTATTATTATTATTATTATTAAGTACCCCATCTTTAATACAGTGTGAACTTACCAATGCCCACATGTGCCTCCAGGATCATGCTGACATCATTGGCACCGTCCCCAATGGCAAGAGTTATAGGGTGCTCTTTAGAAGCTTTTATTAATTTCACAATCTGAGCAACAAAACACGTGTCTTAGTCCAATGTACAAATGCACCAAACGCAAAGATTTTAACATGAAGAGCAGTTTTCCACCTGTGCTTTCTGCAGTGGGGCCATGCGGCAGCAGAGGACGGCGCTGCAGTTCCGACAAATATCGAGGAAGATCTCTCTGTAGTTTCCAGAAGAACCAGCGCCCTCCTGACTGGGCTTCAGGACGGCAGAGAGTGTGGCCCCGTCTATGATCAGACCGAAGTCCAAGCAGTCCACAGACAGGCTGCACGGGCACACCACAAGAGCGAGTCAAGTATGAAGAAAAGAGAAGAGTTTAGAGCAGCGGTGTCAAACTAATATTGGTCAGGGGCCGAGTAAAAGCAATAGGAACTGGACAGGGGCCAAAAGAATAGAAGGGACAGGGCAATAAGCGATGAAAAATAAGTCAAAAAATGCTAAAACTTCAAAAAAATGTATCTTAATTTGAGCACATTTTGACTGCCTTAAAACATGATTTGCCAATGGGACAAGCAATTATTACCTTGTATTTTATATTTTTTTGCAGTGGATTTCCTTTTTTTTACATTATTAAAATGAATTATGAGTTTTACTATTATTATCTAGTGGACCTTGGACATTGAGCCTTCACACATACCCTGAGATAGAGCGCTGTCTGAGGACTGTCCGGTTCAGCTCAAACAGGACGTCGTGCAGGCTCTGCTCCTCAGTGCGCTTCTTGGTCAGCTCCAGGATCTGCGTGCTGCGACGGAAAAGCTTGCTGGCGTAACAGGTGGCTGCAGCCGTCTCCATCTTGTCTCCTGTCAGGACCCAAACTTTCATCCCAGCCTTGTGCAGTGATTCAATAGTGTCCGCTGCTTTCTCCTGGAGCCTAGGCATCAATAAAGTCAATAAAGATTTCAGCCCCAAGTGTGCAAGGTTAGAGCATCCATCAGCACTTCAATCCATCAATTACCCTTTGGAGACAATTCATCAAACCATGACTCCCCCCGAGCACTAACCCAGGCCTGGTTCTCACTCAGACAGCTCCATTGGTTAGAGGGAACCACTTACACCGCCCCACAGTCTTGTTTTACGACTTTTATTGCGGGGCTCAAAGTTGCCTGAAGGTTTTGTTGACAGCACTTGAAATACAGTGGTATGTGCAGGAACTAAGGCCGCACTGAAGTCAACAAAACATTCAACAAGAACACAACCAAACCAAATAAAAACCAAAAACCAATAAAACCAAAACACAAAGGTACAACCCCCAAACAGAACCAACATAACACAAAGACAAGGAGACACACTCTTTTTGTTGGTCATCATTTGTGTGTTTGACTGACCTGTCCTCCACTGCGGTGGCTCCCAACAGAACCAGGTCTCTCTCGATGATGTCATAGGCCTGTGCCAGCCTCTGCTCCCTGTCCTGCAGGGCGAGCTTGGCTTCGTTCAGATGGTAGCACGCTTCTTGATACTCGGCCTCTGATAAACGTTTGAAGGCGACGCACAGTGTCCTCAGCCCCTCCTAACAAGACAACACACAAGTCCACAAAAAAAAAACATCATACAATCAATATCATTATTATCATTATTATGTGATGACGTCTGCACATAAAAAAGCTTTGTCTTCTTTTGTTTGATCTGAAGGGACTCGAACATAAACCGTGGTACAGGTGCAATCACCGCTGCCTTGTCTTCAATTCTCGACAGATTGTGTTCATGTGACATCACAACATTCCACAAAGCCTAGAGTTCAGCGGTCTTCAAACTGGTCCTCAAAAGGCCGGTGTGGCTGCAGGTTTTCCAACCATGCAGGGCACACCAGACTCCACCCATTTCATCAAGTGAGTCCAGTCTTAAACTGAAGAGCACCTGAATGGTTACTACTGTGATGGGAGACCTCTGGGAACACCAGGTACCACAGTGGAGCGACTTCTGTTGTTGCGTCCATTGGCAAGACACTTCACCCACATTTACTAGAATGTTCTGCTTTGTGTGTGAATGGTTGGTGGTGGTCGGAGGGGCTGATGGCACATACTGGTTGCCTCCCTTCTCACAGTGTGCCCCAGGGCAGATGTGGCTACAGTAGTAGTTTATCACCACCGTGTATGGAGTGATAGAATAATGACATGTGACACTTCTTTGAGTGTCCAGAAAAGCGCCATATAAAACTGATGCATTACTTTTATTATCATCAGTTTTATTGTTAGTCTGATGTATTCCTGCTTGGTTGGAATGAAAATCTGCAGCCGCACAGCTCTTTGAGGAAGGTTTGAAGACCACTGAACAATAGTTTATCATTGTAACTATATCCTTGTAACTATGGTAAGGGTCAAAGTTAGTTTAGAGTCTAGAGTCAATTTCTCTGTAATCCACATGAAACAGAAGCTTCCATATTTTCTGTCAGTGCATATCAAGGAGGGTGGAATTATTTTCTAACAAAGATCCATAAAACTCTAGAAGTGGATCCAAAATCTATGCCCTCCAACTAAAATAGCAACATTAGAAGACAAATTCAACCTATAACTTGTGTTTCAATATAAACACTTGGATGAATGATATAATATAATGGAGTAAACCTACCACAGCGTTTTGCTCCACGTGGGCTTTAACTTGCTCCACTTTCCCAGACACCACCCGTGGAAAGATAGACGAGTCTGCTCCTTTACAGAACAGCAGGACCTCTCCTGAAGCACAGGCATCATTGTTATAGACCCACTAACGTTCGCTGCAAGGATAAAAGTAGATTCATCCGCAAATTACCTGAGCTTGTTCTGACTATGACACTCATTCTTCTTCTCACAGAGTCAAAGTTTAGGACATGTAACAACTCAAATCTGTAAAATAACATATGAAGGAGTCATATAAAGTAGCATTTTAGTGAAGATAAAGACACAAAAAGTAAAAAGCATTAGTTACAGTTACAAGCTTGTTTAATTTGTCATTTCATGTTTTAGAATATGAAACCGTATCAATATAATGATATATATAAGTACAACATATATAGGTTGGTGGAGAAGGTGCAGAGGTGGGAATTGAACCCACGACCTTCTGGCCTTAAGGCCAATGCTCTACCAACTGAGCTACTGTCGACATTGAGTTGAATTGTTTTTCCTTAAATTAAAAAATTACTGGTCATTTCATCTTTTTTATTATTACCTAAACTTGCTGTAAGCGTGATGTCATAGAGTGATGCCCTGGTGGGAGAGAGGTGTGTGGTCAGGGAGTGTTTGGGCCAGTGTCTGTGTGAGTGAGAGAATGTGCGTCTTGTCTCTGAGTGCCTTGTTTTCTTAATTTGATGCAATGATGTAACTGTACAGTGTTAGTGTAATTTGTATTTGCTGTTTTGCTGAGAGGGGGGTTGGAAAAGTATAAGCGTCTGCTTCACCCAACCCCCTTTTCAAAACTTGTGACATGTTTTTTATTTGATAATTGATATTTGTATCTTGTTTTGTGCAGGTTTTGAAATAAATAAATACACACATACACAGTGGTACAATGACATCGTACTTTTACAGATAAATACTGTATTGATCCCCGAAGGAGAAGTTCAGGTGTGCAGCAGCACACACACATCAAAACAAACTTACATAAATACATCATTCTAAAAAGTTACTGAATAAAGTAACTCAGACAGAAGCTTTTAGACAGAAGTGAGTAAAACATGTGTGGCAGAAATTCCTGAGATTAGCGTGGATGGATCTAAAATCAACTCCAGGTCTGTTTTGATGATTGAACAATGTACTTTTTGAATTATGTATTTATTTGTTTCGTTCTATCTATCTATCTATCCAAGTTGTAACATGCTTAAAATCCTCAAAAAAACATTTTTGCGTTTGCTAACCGTCCAGTTGTGCTCCCATTCCATCTAAATGTTCAGATTCTCTCTCTCCCCACCTCCTCCGTGTCTTTAAATAGCACACTGTTGACAGGCCTCCGCTGAGAGGGATGCAGAGGCAAACCTTGTTAAATGGACACTTGCCTTTGAAGAAACTAAAACCATAATCATAGCCAAGCGCTGCTGACATTTCAAATATTTTGCACTTTCCACTTTCTTGCGGTTGATTTGTGTAACATGAGGCAGACAGATGGCACGTGACCACAGCCCCATAATCCAAAAGTACTCGCTTTTATTGCACTGAGCTGCAACTGCGAGAAACCAACCTCTCAATCTCGTCGTCTTTGTTGAGTATCTCCATGTGGTTGTCTCTCAGGCGCAAGTACGTGTAGCCCAGCCTAGCAGAACAATAACAACAACAACAACAAACTGTTCAGTCTGTTTTGATCAATGAAGATGGAACTAGAAGAAAAATATTTAATTCACAATACGGCATTATTTGTAAGAAAACTAGTGCAACTGTTACGATAGTGTCTACACAATCTGAAAGAAATATGTGTGATGCTCGGTGTAGGGTCAGAGAGTTTTTGGGCCTGAGTCTTGTGTCAGATTGTGCGTTGTCTTGTCCATATATTATTGTACTGTGTTATGGTTCTAGTATATTTCTCTTTTGACGATTTTGAATTGAATGGATGACGGAGGCTTGAAATGAACATCTAGATTAGTTCTGTAATTAACAATTATTTTGATCGATTAGTTGACAGATTATTCTTTCAATTAATTGATTTGTTCATTAGTTCCCAAAAGGTCAGTAATGGTAATTTTGACCATAGTCAGGCTACTCAATAAGCTGAACTGTAACAAAATTGGTTATTTGATTAAAAAGCAAAATTCTAAGTCTCATTTTGCAGTGATTCCAGATCTGTTTAAGAGTTGGTATCACTTCTCAGCACGTTAAAGTCTGTGTATGCGTAAAAAAACAGTTAATCAATTTCTTGTTAAGTTAACAATTTCAATGATTAATCAATTAACCTGTTACAGCCCTAATCTTGATATATATTATCCACCATCCATTTTAGAATTACTCTGGCTGTGTGTACTTCATGTGATCAGAGAGCGCTCCTGGAGGAATCGTCTTTCAAATCAAAATGTTGGGTGACACTTGGTCCAAATGAAATGAACCCTGGCTCACACTTTAGGCTGAAAAATCTATTTTTGTGGAGCTGTGAAAGCATCAAGGTGGGCATTTACTATTTTCTATTTTTTGTAGTCTTGTATTTTGGGTTAACCATTTTGGCCTAATGACGCTGATTGAGACGTGAAAAACCAGTCTGCTTGGCATAACTGGATCGAACCATTTCTGCTCCGTAGACAATGACATGCTGACATCGTGTAAACTGTTGTGTTGGTTTTCTGGTTTTCATTATGTGGGGCAAAAGTATGGTGTGTGAGATTATGCAGCGAAAATGGAATGACTTATGCAGCTGCAACTGTGCGTGTGTGAAAGTTCAATGCTCAAAGGTGTGTTCTGTACATGTTACACAGAATATACATATGATAGCAATTTTATTTACAATGACATTTCCCAAGTTTGAAAGCTATGGCAAAGTTACGAGACGTCTTTGAAAGCATCACGAGGCTCCCTCACAGCCCCACATGTAGACTGGGACCAGAGTTGTCAGACTATAAATAGACTCAGAGAGGTTGAGAGGAGAAGAAGAAGTGTGCCCACCTTTTCATTCCCTCCACAAGAGCGACCTCGTCAGGGGAGGAGGATATGTAGAAGGAGGTGGGTCTGCCCTGGTGGAGGCCTCTCTTAATACCATCCACGGTCTCCTCCTCTTTGACCTGAACCGTGTGGCATAAGCACAGCGCCCTGAAGAACAGATCCTCATGCTCCTGCGCACACAAAATGCATTTCCTCATCAATAAAGCATCTTTTTTAGAACAAAAGTAACACTCTATTTACTTCCCATTTCATAATTTCGTGTGGATAATAATAGTATTGTGCAATGTGACATCTTTTGATCTACAAATACTGTTTTTGCAGGTATTTCGAGTCCTTCTGTTCATCAAAGTTGGATCCAAACCCTTGTGCTTACGCTGCACTTTTATATTCAATCTAAATAAATCATGGCTATTTCTCAAACAAAAGCAGTGCTCATAACTTTTTTTTGCACTGGAAAATGGATTTATTTGCACAGTCAGAAACAGAAATATCTATACATTTCACCAAACAAGCGGTTTAGTCTTAACCCAAAGGCCTCTCTTTGTGAAAAACATAATCAATGATGAAACTAGGGCTGCAAATAATAATTATGTTTATACTTGGTTTGTTAGCTGATTAGTGAATATAGTATTTTTTATCTATCCTTAGCTATTGATTATGTTTATGTGAATAGCAGAGTCAGCACAAGGGACTTCTTTTTTATGTCATTATTTTTTATGAATATTCTTTTGACTCCATCCAGGTTTAGTAGCTGTTGGATGCACGTTTTGTAAATTAGATTGGTAAATGAGTCCCGACAAAACAGCAAAACAGCTTGTTATTAAATCATTTAATTGTGACAAGTTAAAGCAGCGGACTATGGCTTTGTTTTACTCTATTAGCTGTTGGTTAAGTGTTACATAACAACATAAAAATAGCTTATAAGTGGGCAAAATGTACTTTCTTTTCAAAATCAGCTGGTGTGCTTTATACAGTCGCTCCTATAAACAGTCCAGCAAGTATTATTAATCTGGCACATTTACATAGACACATGTTGATTAATGTGCTCTGTCCCTTTCAATAAACAATTACATGAATAAAATACATTGATTGATTGAACTTGTACAGTCCTAACGGGAAGAATAACATGATCGAGGCTAATTAAGTAAAAATGGCCCTTGCTTAATGTTTAATTCACAAAAACACATGCTTACTCTCCGGTATCCTCCAGGAGAAGAATCGATCATGTCTATACTGGAGGCGGCGCTGAGGATCTGGCCGTTACAGATGGCGTGGGGGATGTAGACGTTGCCATCCACACAGCACTCGATAAACTCCATGTTGTTTTCAGTCAGCGTGCCGGTTTTATCAGTGAACACATACTCCACCTGGGAGCAGGAGACAATGTCAGCACCACGGATAGTTCCTTAAAGACAGAGGCCTGTGTGTGAGTCCGCCCCAGGCCCCACCCACCTGGCCCAGTTCCTCGTTCAGGTCCGAGGTGTTGACCTGCGCGCCCTCTCCCAGCTCCTCGTCGAACATGTCCTCGTCCCACGTGATGAAGTAGGACCCCAGGAACTTCTGCATCTCCACCGTCACGTACATGGAGACGGGAATGATGTAGTTGAATAGTACCATGAAGGCCAGGAAGTCGGTGAAAGCTCGAATGACCTGAGGGGAAGATTAGAACCAATAGTAATTATGTAATACTTTGATTTTTGTTAGTCCTAGATCTACAGCATCAGTCCTGGATCTACAGCCTCAGTCCTGGATCTACAGCCTCAGTCCTGGATCTACAGCCTCAGTCCTAGATCTACAGCCTCAGTCCTGGATCTACAGCCTCAGTCCTAGATCTACAGCATCAGTCCTGGATCTACAGCATCAGTCCTAGATCTACAGCATCAGTCCTGGATCTACAGCCTCAGTCCTGGATCTACAGCCTCAGTCCTGGATCTACAGCCTCAGTCCTAGATCTACAGCATCAGTCCTGGATCTACAGCATCAGTCCTAGATCTACAGCCTCAGTCCTGGATCTACAGCCTCAGTCCTGGATCTACAGCCTCAGTCCTGGATCTACAGCTTCAGTCCTCGTTTTATAGTGTCAGTCCTGATTCCACATTCTTCATTTATTAAAATAGTTCTTAAGTATTTGTTATTATTGCATTTCCTGCATTTGATTCTCAGATCAATTTAGTGCTATACAAAAATAACGTGAATTGTATTGAATATAGTTAGCAGAGCACATTATGTGGTGGCAGAAACTATATGAAAAGAATAATAAAATGATGCAATCACCACATGTCTCTGGCGCTCGTGCTCTGTGCGATGGTTGTACCAGGGCTCGTCTCGGTCAGGTGACCACTGCCAGGCGTACTTCAAAACAGTGTTGATAACTGCTTTACTGATTAAGATGCACAGATAGACTATGAGGAAAGCATTCATGGACCTGCAGCATGGAAAAGAGGAGGCAAGGTCAGGAAAACACATCCTCACTACAATAGCAGATCAAAAAGACTCACTTCTCCACAGCGGAACGCTTTTGAGATTTGGACTGGTAGTTTAGTGCCATCTTCGTCTCCATACCAGTGTAGATCGCAACAGCTGGTGGAAAAAAAAAAACGTTTGGTTAGACTATTAGTTGTTTGTATGCCAAAATTATGGGATTTTTAATATAAATATGTATGTAATAATAATAATTACACCTATATATTTTAAATGCGTCCCCAGATAAAGGGTCAACCTGTCTAAATCATAGTTGGCCTTCTCCGAATAGAAGTTTAAATTAGTTAAATAGAATACAGTGGAAAAAATTTCCTAATCATATTCCATAATACAAGAATAAATAATAGAAAAATCTGCGAATAGCAAGGCCCCGAAAGGTGAACTGCCTTATAAGTACCATAATTGAATACCTTGAATTTGTTGAGAACTATTTCAATAATCCATTGGTTAAATTGATTAACTTGTTACAGCCCTATTCCGAAGGCTAGCTTGAGCTGGAACAACTACTTCTCACCATAAATATGTTGTGTATTCTTCAATGTCGCTCCTCTGAGAAGAAGGTTTTCGGCTCCAAGTGGTCTACAAGGTCGAAAAGAAGAGTTCTGTTGTTGTCTTGGTTAAAGGGAACACAAAGCTATACAAGTTTTACACAACTCACCTAGCCACTGGCTCGTCCTTGTCCTTGTATATATTGATGCGTCCCACAAATCTAAAGACCAGAGAGAACTTCAATTAAGAAAATGGCCTTAACGGCAGAAGGTGTAATATGTCTGATGCTTGTACAAGGGTGCATTTATGGCCCCATGTCACACCCACTTGTAGAGGTCAGGCTGCGGTTGTTCACACTCAATAGTGGCATGTAGAGAATCCACCTCCTGCTCGGTTCGAAAGGCCATGGTATCTGGTACGGCATAATAGGTCTGGAGGAAGAGAAGGAGAGGGACAACAGAGGGAAATGTCAACGCTCCGGCGCTAATGAGACCGGGGTTCACCGGACGCCTCCGAACGGCCCCCGGCGGATCCGATAAATGACCAGGAGAAAGACTGAGAACTGCTCCGGGGGTCAGGGGCAGATGGCAAGCTGAGAGAGGAGGAAGAGGAGGGGGAGGAGGAGGAGGGGGAGGAGGAGGAGGAGGATGAAGAGCCCAAAGACTAGTGAGAGCAGCCAGGCGTGGGTGAGTGACAGTTTGACAGACAAAAGACATATGCATACGTCGGTCTGAACTATTACTGAGGACACTATTACTGCTGGGATTTCAAGAAGAAATAATACACTTTGTTTGGCCATTTAAAATGATAAAATGTTTACTTATGGCATTTTATGTTGTAGAATGTGAAATTATATCTTAACTAGAAATTATATGGTGAATCTAAATATAATTTAAAAAAATGGGCCTGCCCTATCCTTATTCTCTCACTAGATGGAGGTATAGAATTTGTTTTGTTTCGTTCCAAGTTTGAAAATTACCAGCAGAGATCACCTGAGAACTTGCCAAAACGGATTCATGGGAAATACTTTTTTTTTTTTTAAAGACCCCTGCTCTTAATGTGATGTCATAATTGTACAATGACATCATATTACAAAATACAGGATACAAGAATTTATTTTCCGTTTGCAGTAAAACCACATTAGAAAAACTGTGCAAGACTACCCCAGTGTGCACCAGACAGAGAAGAAGACAGCACACACTAGAGCTCCAGATTAATTGGTGTTGCTAGTTTGATAATGTTCCACTGATCTGAAGTGTACATAAAATAGCAGCTACATGGATCACATATTGTATAATATTATTGCGTTTACTGTTTTTGAACGGTTTGATTCTCTGATCTGTTGTTGGTGAATTGACAACTTTGTTATTTAGGGCTATAGAAAATCACATTGAATTTAATTGAATTAATATGAACCCTTTAGGTGCCAAAAGTACTTGCTATCCATTATTCAAAGGTACTTTTACTGCATTTTTCTTTATCCATTTTCTTGTTTCAGTTGTCCTGGTTCTAAAACACAAGTCATAGATCTACAGCCACAGACCTGGTTCTACAGCCTCAGTCCTGGATCTACAGCCTCAGACCTGGTTCTACAGCCTCAGACCTGGTTCTACAGCCTCAGTCCTGGATCAGCCTCAGACCTGGTTCTACAGCCTCAGTCCTGGATCTACAGCCTCAGTCCTGGTTCTACAACACAAGTCATGGATCTACAGCCTCAGTCCTGGATCTACAGCCTCAGTCCTGGTTCTACAACACAAGTCATGGATCTACAGCCTCAGTCCTGGATCTACAGTGAGTCCTGGATCTATAGCCTCAGTCCTGGTTCTACAGTGAGTCCTGGATCTATAGCCTCAGTCCTGGTTCTACAGTGAGTCCTGGATCTACAGCCCGTCTGTCCGTGGGAGCGGATCCCTCTCACAGTATTTTCATCATATTCCTAATAAAACTACCATTTGCATATGCTGATAATACTTTGCAAAAATTAAACTTGGACAATTGCCACAGGATTTGGAGAATGTTTTAAAATGGTTCCATGAAATGAGACATCTTGGAGAACGACACGAAGAAATGGTCGCGCACCTTGTGACTGGACTCCCCGTCGAGACTGGCTGTTGTGACGTAGCAGGTCCCGTCGTGGCGACTGGAGGAGAGAAGGATGAGGTCACATGGGAAAGTCTCATCCTCCCTCACCATGACCACATCCCCCACCTGCACCAGAAACAACAACATCCACAAATTAGCATCACACAATCACAAACACGCAGTGCTGCCGGTGTATTTTAAGTCAAAACCTGCTCAATTTTCCCATTTTTTTCTCCAAAGGATTGCCGAGTTGCGTAACGGATTACGAGAGCAGCTTTAGCTTGGTTAAATCCCATCTCCACGGTGACCAAACACATGACACACACTCTCCGATTTTGCATGATTAATATATTCATTATTATTCCTGCTCGGTATCCACGGTGATCCCTTCCGTTTGATCTGAGTTACTGAGAACACTTGGCACACGAAATGACAAAATGAAGAAGCAGGAAAAAGGACACGGTTTAAATGTATAAGAAGTGGAAAAAGCACAAGTACAGCAACCGGCCCCAGCATCGCAGCGTGCCTCATTTGACAGAATTCGCAGACAAAGCAGAAACTCCGTACCTGCAGCCATTAAATAGCATGGACACAAAGCTAAACTATCTGGCGCACACATCTGCATAGGAGCTGAGTCAGACAGATACATTATGTATTCTCACAACAAGTTTACAAACTCTCATTCATGAATCCTGATGGAGACGGAGCTCTGGTGAAACACAAGAAACTGCTGCTATAGTTTGTAGATGGTCAATGAAAACACGTTAGCTTAGTTAGTATTTTAGTATGTGTCTGAATGGATGGGAGAGGATTGGAATATTTCAAACTTTTTGCTTCGATCAATTCCTTTGCAAACCTTCTTATTTTCTCTTATTATCATATTTTTCTCTGAATTGTTTGTATCCCGTGCATGTTTGAAATACATAAACAAATTATATTAAATGTTTGCTCAATCCTTGGACTTTGTGTGGTGCTCAACTCAAAGTTATTACCTACAGTATGACTCAACTGGACCTTTGGATTAAATCTCCTGGATTTGTCGAACAATTGAATTCCTTTGATTTCCTTGTTGTTGCTGTCGATATTTTGCTTATTCAATGTAAATGAAGCTCAAGCGGATGTTCAGACTGAAAGACCGAGTGCCTGCACGGCCGCGCCTTGCGAATTATTCTCGTAGCAATAGGCCCTGTCATTCCCGCGCGGGGCATGCCCTTCCTACGCGGGGCTCGTCCATCTCAAGCCGGGCCGGCGTCTGGCCGTCACACTGGCCACCCGGCGCACGTGATGACCCTCATCGAAGGTTTCGTAAATGCTCCCTCGGCTTGGAGAGAGAGAGGATAGGAGGAGGAGGACCAAGGTCTCTTGGTCCGTCCTGTCCTCTGTCACGTCCCAAACAGGTGCTGCTCTTCCGGCTGGGCCGCCTCATCCTCGCAGTGCACGGCATTCCTCAGGCCGTGGTTCATCCCCAGGCTCCTGCGCGCTCTGCAACCCTGTTTTCCTGTTCGCAGGTGCTGCGCTGACCTCAGCTTCAGCTGCTGCCTGCCGGAACGGCGTCTTTCATGATGGCACCGCCTCTTCCACTTACTTATTTCTTTTTCACGGACGCGGCTCAGTCCGTGGGTTTTTGGGGGTCATATCAAGGCCAGTGGTTAGCTGCACCCTGGCCCCAAGGACTTATTACCCCTATCACTATAATCCCTGCATTCAACACTCCAAAAGGAAGGTGCCGTCACACTTTCGCTATGCATTATTTTTCCCCTGTCCAGATAAACACCTGATGAAATGCACTCCTCCATGCACGGAGAGGATATTCAGATGGGCTGCCATTTCTCTCTCTGTCAAATGACGTCATGTTTGCGCAATGCATCCAAGCCCATTTAATAAATCCGGCCGGTCTCCTGTGATCTCCCGATTCTCCAATACCGGCCGCTGGATTAGAATAGCCGTCGCACTCCAGCCTGCTGGGCCTTCCTCACTCTTCCCTAAAGCAAATGGGTCAATGGTCCACGGCTTGGTCCTGCCTCATCCTCTATCAGACTAAACACTGATACTATTCTGACTGCTCAGCGCTCCCTCTTCAATCTGAGGTAATTATCAAATACTCTGGTGGTGGCTAAGGCTCTTCTCTCACATAAGCATTCTCAACATCTGTTGCACTTCAATCCGGACATGCATATGATCACCTTGTCTTACATCATACATTCATGCTCACCGCAGCGCTCTGTGCAGAGAAACTTCTCTGCATAACCCCCTACGGCTCACGCTATACACGCACCTCACGAAGCGGCCTGTGCGCGAGAGGCAGCTCCGCACGCCCCAAGGGCCCACGCTTCTACACGCATAGTCATTACAGAGCGTGCGGACTCGTCACCCCCGCATATTCTCTGTATCATACGCTGACACACGCATGCTCAAATATAGCAGATCTTGTATGAGAAAGCTCTCTACATCGCTGCTCCACATTCTCAACACGCAGAGCCCGCATCAGCTCTGCGATTACACGCATCTACTCTTCACTTCATGCATCCATCACGCACGCATGATCACATAGCCGCTCATTCAATGAGTGTCTGTTCCCACAGATCCCCTGCGGCCTACGTCATACATGCACCCTCACGAAGTGTCTGTGCGCGAGAAACCCTCCGCACGCTCCAAGGGCCAACGCTTCACACACGCATAATCATTACAGAGCGTGCGGATTTGTCACCCCCGCACATTCTCTGTATCCTATTCATGCAATTCTGCTTCCAGGCAATGCAGCCTTCACGCAATGCAGCCTCCACGCAATGCAGCCTCCACGCAATGCTGCCTCCACGCAATGCTGCCTCTATGCAATGCTGCCTCCATGCAATGCTGCCTCTATGCAATGCTGCCTCTATGCAATGCTGCCTCTATGCAATGCTGCCTCTATGCAATGCTGCCTCCATGCAATGCTGCCTCTATGCAATGCTGCCTCTATGCAATGCTGCCTCTATGCAATGCTGCCTCTATGCAATGCTGCCTCTATGCAATGCTGCCTCTATGCAATGCTGCCTCTATGCAATGCTGCCTCTATGCAATCTATGCAATGCTGCCTCCATGCAATGCTGCCTCTATGCAATGCTGCCTCTATGCAATGCTGCCTCTATGCAATGCTGCCTCTATGCAATGCTGCCTCTATGCAATGCTGCCTCTATGCAATGCTGCCTCTATGCAATGCTGCCTCTATGCAATGCTGCCTCTATGCAATGCTGCCTCCATGCAATGCTGCCTCTATGCAATCTATGCAATGCAGCCTCTATGCAATCTATGCAATGCAGCCTCCACGCAATGCAGCCTCCACGCAATGCAGCCTCCACGCAATGCTGCCTCCACGCAATGCTGCCTCCACGCAATGCTGCCTCCAGGCTATGCTGCCTCCAGGCTATGCTGCCTCCATGCAATTCTGCCTCCATGCAATGCTGCCTCTATGCAATCTATGCAATGCTTCCTCCAGGCTATGCTGCCTCCATGCAATTCTGCCTCCATGCAATGCTGCCTCTATGCAATCTATGCAATGCTGCCTCTATGCAATCTATGCAATGCTGCCTCTATGCAATCTATGCAATGCTGCCTCTATGCAATCTATGCAATGCTGCCTCTATGCAATCTATGCAATGCTGCCTCCATGCAATCTATGCAATGCTGCCTCTATGCAATGCTGCCTCTATGCAATGCTGCCTCTATGCAATGCTGCCTCTATGCAATGCTGCCTCTATGCAATCTATGCAATACGGCCTCTATGCAATGCTGCCCCTATGCAATGCTGCCCCTATGCAATGCTGCCTCCATGCAAGGCTCCCACGCCTCCAGATAGGCAGCTTCCCACGGGAGGCCTGCGCATTCCCCGGCACACATAGCGTGGCTTCCTCTTTTGGGGGATCTGAGATCATCTCAGCTGCAATCGATCTCATAGCTGCAAGTGTCACTGCCGGGGTCAATGCGCCAAACAAATAAATCATTTTAATGTATTTATCGTGTCTTTGGTCTCTTCAGATTGAAATGAAGCTCAAGCGGATGTTCAGACTGAAAGACCGAGTGCCTGCCAGCCCTGAGCCTCAGCCAATCACACAGCTCTGCCAGCCTCGAGCCTCAGCCAATCACACAGCCAGGCCAGCCTCCTGCCAACCCTCTCAGAGCAAAGCGGGCAGTTTAAAAGGCAGCCACTTCCTGACAAACAACGCTTCCTGAGGCTCTTAAACACCCACCACCTCCCCAGCACCCCCTCTGGCTCTTGGCTCCCGCTCTGGCTCCCGCTCTGGCTCCCGCTCCGGCTCCTGCTCCGCCTACGCCCCATTCACACCATACTCTAGCCACCACCAGTGATTGATCCCGGGGGATCTGAGATCATCTCAGCTGCAATCGATCTCATAGCTGCAAGTGTCACTGCCGGGGTCAATGCGCCAAACAAATAAATCATTTTAATGTATTTATCGTGTCTTTGGTCTCTTCAGATTGAAATATTTGTTCATTATTGTTCACATCTTTTGTATAATCCACTTTAATTCAAACTTACCTTTTTGTTCCTGCTGGAGCCTATCCTCCAGCAGTCGACTCTAAATCTTCTGATCAAATATCCCAACCTTATTACATCTATCATTTAACTTATTACCTTTTAAAAACAAACCAGTTGTTATAGAAGTCCAACAGGGAAGTACTCATGGACGAAGTTTTGCTCCAACTCGCTCTGCGTCCTATTAATTTACACTCCTACTTACTCCTCGAGCTCAGTAACTATTTGTGTCACACTCACCATTTTGGGCAGTCTCTATGATGCTGGGGTTTATATTTTTTTGATATTATCTTTATAAATCCAGAAATGAGCCATAAGGATTGGATCAGATGCCATTATTCGTCAGAGAAGATCCAGTTTGCCTTAGCAACCCTGTTAGCAACGCGTCTGCCCCTTTCACACTGCATAGCTAACTCTGTCAGAACAAATTCCCGTATAAGGTAATTGGACTTGCTTATGGCAGTCTACCCCAGGGCAGCAGGGGCAGTAGCAGTCTCACTGTGTGTGACTTGTATAATGTAGATGAACGTTTATCATATTATCGATACCGTTAACAGCAACCTTAAATGATATCCAGAAGTGTTGTCCCCTATAAGCTAAAATACATCATAATCACAGCACTTATCTATAAATTCTCTTTTTGCACAAGAAACATAATTAAAACCCAACATTTAAATACTGTTTATGAGGCCATATGGTTTTATGCGCCATGACCCTGCCGTGGTGGCACCGGATGGCGCTGCTCGCCTGAGGGGTCTAGAGGTGTGAATGTGCATCTATCTGTGCATACAACTGAATGACTTTATCTTTACTCTTTGTAATGCACTGTGACTATTTATGATTTCAATCCCATGAGTGACTTTAATGGTATTAGATTTTTAATTATTTGTGTGATTTTATCTTTTATGTTTCATGTGATCTTATGATGTTTGTTTTTAATGCCACGCGGGATTTTACATGTATTTTTCTATGTTTATGTAGATTTAAATGTTTATGATTTATATTTGATGTGATGTGGGTTGTGAGGCGCTTTGTGTTGATGTGTAGGAAAAGTGTTCTACAAATAAAAGTTGATGTACTGAATGAATGAGGATGAATAAGTGTGTGATCAGAACTTCTTCCAGTAGTTAACGACTCTTACAGTATAGGAGGAAACGGCTATAGAACGAAGTTCTTATACTTGTTCAAATTAATATATAACTTGAATGAATAATATCTGATTCTTAATATATCAGATTGTTTTCATGATCAGCTGTGTGCCTGTGCTTGTGTGTCTGTGTGTGTGCATATGTATAGGCATCTGTGTACGCATGCACCAAAAATCAATATACAAAGCTTAACACCATCATAAACAGAATGGGATTGTGCAGAAATGTGGATTATCAGCGTCCTGTTCGAGTATTAGAGCCGGTGGCCGTGTACTCTGATGTGTGTTGCATCAGAATGACATAAGAGCGGCGGCGGATGATGACAGAACCTTCACATTTCTGAAACGCATCAATCTGAGCACGTGCCACAGGACTCACCGCTGTCCCACAACAAAAACCCAGCTCCTCTTCGGCTTTTTTTGGCAGTTTGATTAATTGGTGGAAAAATAAGGGGAGAAAAACCATGTAGAAGAAGCACAGATAGGTGTGTGTGTGTGTGTGTGTGTGTGTGTGTGTGTGTGTGTGTGTGTGTGTGTGTGTGCGGGGATTATTGTGGCCCCAGGTGCAGTGGCCCCTAATGAGGCCAGTCTTACCCTCAGCTTGTGGCTCTGCGTCCTCCCCGCCTTCCCCTGCTGCACCACATTCACTGGACATTCATTTATCGAGCAGTCCGCCTTGTGCCTCAGCCAGTCCTCGTAGCCCTGACAGGGGTTGGACCGGCAGAGTAAATTAGAGAAGAAGAACAAAAGTGAAAATCAGAATTATAGATTATTGCGTCTGAGAATGAGGCCAAGGCGCAGCCAAAATATCAGTGGGGCCGAAGTGAGAGTCATAGGCTGTAGTAAACTGGGATTGCTGATATGGGAAAGTCCGAGTTTGCCTTAGCAACCATGTTAGCAACACATCTGCCCCTGTTATGACGAATGCTAACACCGTCGGAACAAATGCCCTTATATGGAAACTCAGTTGAAAATAGATCAAGCTTAAGAGATTCATACCACAGTGAGGAAATTTCAGTGTTGCATCATGGGAGGAAGGGACTAAATAAAGTGACAGTGGACACGTGTGGTTCTATATTGTATACTCTTTTTGGACAATAAAATATATTTTTTTAACTCAAAATATACAAATACTGTTTATGAGGCCATGCAGTTTAATACAAATTCTTCTGATATAGTTTAAAATGCCTCAGCCAGTCCTTGTAAGTCTTAAAAAGGGTTGGACCGGAAGAGCACATTAGAGAAGAAGAACAAAAGCAAAAATTATAGGTTATTGCGTCTGTGAATGAGGCCAAAATATCAGAAGGCGAGAGGTGAAAGTCATAGGCGGTAATTAACTTGGATCGCACTTCCTGGATTTGTGGCCGATGTGTCACGTTGTAGATTTATGTCAGGGGGAGAACGCAGGCTTCCATTTGCCCAGAACAGATCCATCTATCAGCAGGAGTAAGGCCGTCCCTCAGGAGTGGGACGGCCGGGGAGGATATGCGTGTCCTGGGGGGCGTGAGATGCTCAGCGAGAGTGATTAACAGAGAAGACTATTCATTATCATATTTCTCACATCAGCAGACAGATTCAATGGCATGTCCTTTGGCTTGGGAGAGGAATGCGCACAGGCGGATAATAGGACGGTCTCTCTGATGGACTGGAGTGTGTGTGTGTTTGGAGGTGGGGAGAGAATGAGGCAGAACGAGAAATATTTTCAGAGGAAACGTGAGCGGATTTGTGTGTGTGTGTGTGTGTGTGTGTGTGTGTACCTGCTTTATGGCGGTGACGGTGATGACGAAGAAGAGAGGCAGGCCGCTGGTGATGGGGCTGGTGGGGGTGTCGATGATGAGCTGGAACAAGGCAACACAGGAAAATGCGTTTTAAAAAAGAAGATACTATTAGTTATCAGAAGGCCCAGTTTATTCTTGAGTGTTTGTTTTTTCCGTTTTTATTTTGTTTTTTGTTTAATAACCTTGTAGAGCTGAACTACTCTGTTTTTAACTGAAGCTGGAGGTTGTATTACATTGAAAAACTCAATAAAATATAAGTGGAGAAAAAAAAGATACATCCACAATAAATATTAGTAGATTAGAATGACTAATATCTGTCCTCTGTCCTCGTTCTACAGCCTGAGACCTGGATCTATTACCCATCTGTCCATGGGGGCGGATCCCTCTCTCAATGTGGGTCTCCCGAGAATTCTCACTTTTTACTTACAATTTTTTATTCAAGTTTTTCCTTGCTGATGCTGGAGGGTCTAAGGACGGCGTGATGATCCAGGACACTCAACATTTACTTGCTTTGGTAAATGGTGCAAACGAGTTATACAAAAGTAAAATAATAGATTTAAGGGCATGCCTTAAAAATCTGGAATAAATTCAAATACATAAATACACACAATAGATGACACAGACAAGTCCTTTGAGGTAAACGAATACTTGTAATTCAGGTGAAACTTGAAAATGAGCATGTTTTTCAAAAGTCCATTTACTTTTGCAATGTTAAACTAATATGTGATCATCAAAGTGAGATTTATCAAGCCTATAGTTGTTAAAACGTTGATGAATATGGCTCACAGCTGAAATAAATAAATAATAAAAAAACATTTTGCAAACCATAATCATCATAACCGTAAGCCATAATAATCAAATTTATAACTTACAGTGCCTTGCGAAAGTATTCGTCCCCCTTGAACCTTTCAACATTTCGCCACATTTCAGGCTTCAAACATAAAGATATACAATTTTAATTTTTTGTCATGAATCAACAACAAGGGGGACACAATCATGAAGTGGAACGAAATGTATTGGATAATTTAAACTTTTTTAACAAATAAAAAACTGAAAAGTGGGGCGTGCAATATTATTCGGCCCCTTTACTTTCAGTGCAGAAAACTCACTCCAGAAGTTCAGTGAGGATCTTTGAATGATCCAATGTTGTCCTAAATGACTGATGATGATAAATAGAATGCACCTGTGTGTAATCAAGTCTCCGTATAAATGCACCTGCTCTTTGATAGTCTCAGGGTTCTGTTTAAAGCGCAGAGAGAACCATGAAGACAAAGGAACACACCAGGCAGGTCCGAGATACTGTTGTGGAGAAGTTTAAAGCCGGATTTGGATACAAAAAGATTTCCAAAGCTTTAAACATCTCAAGGAGCACTGTGCAAGCAATTATATTGAAAATGGAAGGAGTATCAGACCACTGCAAATCTACCAAGACCCGGCCGTCCCTCCAAACTTTCATCTCAAACAAGGAGAAGACTGATCAGAGATGCAGCCAAGAGGCCCATGATCACTCTGGATGAACTGCAGATAACTACAGCTGAGGTGGGAGAGTCTGTCCATAGGACAACAATCAGTCGTGCACTGCACAAATCTGGCCTTTATGGAAGAGTGGCAAGAAGAAAGCCATTTCTCAAAGATATCCATAAAACGTCTTGTTGAAAGTTTGCCACAAGCCACCTGGGAGACACACCAAACATGGAAGAAGGTGCTCTGGTCAGATGAAACCAAAATCAAACTTTTTGGCCACAATGCAAAACGATATGTTTACCGTAAAAGCAACACAGCTCATCACCCTGAACACACCATCCCCACTGTCAAACATGGTGGTGGCAGCATCATGGTTTGGGCCTGCTTTTTTTCAGCAGGGACAGGGAAGATGGCTAAAATTGATGGGAAGATGGATGGAACCAAATACAGGACCATTCTGGAAGAAAACCTGTTGGAGTCTGCAAAAGACCTGAGACTGGGACGGATATTTATCTTCCAACAGGACAATGATCCAAAACATAAAGCCAAATCTACAATGGAATGGTTCACAAATAGACGTATCCAGGTGTTAGAATGGCCAAGTCAAAGTCCAGACCTGAATCCAATCGAGAATCTGTGGAAAGAGCTGAAGACTGCTGTTCACAAACGCTCTCCATCCAACCTCACTGAGATCGAGCTGTTTTGCAAGGAAGAATGGGCAAGAATTCCAGTCTCTCGATGTGCAAAACTGATAGAGACATACCCCAAGCGACTTGCAGCTGTAATTGCAGCAAAAGGTGGCGCTAAAAAGTATAAGCGCAAGGGGCCGAATAATATTGCACGCCCCACTTTTCAGATTTTTATTTGTTAAAAAAGTTTAAATTATCCAATAAATTTCGTTCCACTTCACGATTGTGTCCCACTTGTTGTTGATTATTGACAAAAAAAAATATTTTTATATCTTTATGTTTGAAGCCTGAAATGTGGCGAAATGTTGAAAGGTTCAAGGGGGACGAATACTTTCGCAAGGCACTGTAAGTTATAAGTTTGATTATTATGGCTTAAAATAAATGTAAATAAACTGTAAATACATATAATATAACTTGACAAATAAGGCTTGGCATTTGTCACTGTTGCATGTCGTGAGTCTATATCATATATTTGATTTAATAACTGTAATAAATGGAAAATTAGATTTAAAAAAAAAAGTTGCACTAAACACGTAAATGCTGTAACTGGTTTTAAGGATGTATAAAACAATGCATATTCAGTCTTTGATTTGTGTTACTTGAAAATAAGTTCTTAATAATAGAATAAAACAAAACATATATTTGTAATATTTCAATTATCAGCCGTACCTGAACCAGGAAAATAACCAGAAAGTAGAAGTTTGCTATTCTTCGAAACTGCTCGAACAAGTTCTTGGGAATGAAGTTCCAAAACGTATACTGTAAAACAGAAGTGAGCGTTAGGACAGAAAGACAGATACAGAGCTCTTACAGCCAACTGTACATTTGGTTTAGCTAATCTTTACACTTTGATGATCATGTTTAAGATGAAAACCTCTACAGACACTTTTCACGATCTGAGACAGATGTGGTCATAAAGCAAAAAGGTAGAACTAATATAATGAAATGTGCACATTTCTTTATATAAGAATGGAGCAGGAGTTTATAACATAAGATCATGTTCTTTTTCATGGAATGTATTACCGCTGTACTTGGATTATTGTGGTATTTTGTAGCATTACCAGGAAAAATATTAATAAATGCTGTTTATCTGTCAGAGGGTGATCTCTGGAATGGATGCGCGGATGCACTTTAATCACTTAAATCATGTAATTCACTTTTCCACTTTAGAAAGTTCAAACTGTCATTGAGGACGGCTACATGAAGAATGTTTATGTTTACACAGTTGCTTCTGTAAATCCTATTGTGTACGTTCACTTATACTAATGACGCCTTTTCTCTCGTTCTTTCTGCTGTAAATTGATTGCTCTGTAACAATGCGTTTAATTTTAGTAACAGAAATAAACTTCATTCGTTCAAAACAGTTGGGGTTGTAAGATTCTCAGGTCCGTGTTACAGAGTTGGATCAGCGTTTACAGACGGCAGTTTGGAGAAAACCATCATGGTCTCGGCCTAAAGAGTCAGATATCGACCTCTAGCGGGTTTTTCCAAAGGTTTGCCAAATGTTTTTTAAAAAGTGGTAGGATTTGTTCCTAATTCTTCATGAACATATTTCTTCCTGTGTAATGAACAAAATGTGCTATTTTTGAAACAAAAGCAGTGGGTACTGCTGTAAAAGTATAAATATTGGCAGAAAAAGTAATTTTTGGTAAGAGTACAGAAGTATAATCTTTTATTTATTAATTTTATGAATAAAAAAAGTACTGACAAGTTATCTGAATTTAGAAGCATGACTAACAACTATTCAATAAAAACTTAGAAGCATTGCTAACCACAACACATTAATTAACTTAAAAAGAACAGTAAAAGTTGGGGAAAGAACCGCCATCTCCACTTGATGATTGACAAGTGGGAGGACCAATAGTCTTGATGATCCACCTCCTATACCTTTAAGCACCACAAATTAATGAAGCTAGAAGCATAGCTAACCACAACAGAAGTGAAAAGGTTTTTTCACTTAACATAAGTGAAGCATGGCTTTTCACTACATAAGTGCTAGCCACAAATGAATAATTAAATTAGAAGTGTGGCTAACCACAACAAATTAATGAACATAGAAGCATGTAAACCACAACAAAATAATTAAATTAGAAGCGTGGCTAACCACAACAAATGAATGAACATAGAAGCATGTAAACCATAACAAAATAATTAAATTAGAAGCATGACTAACCAAAAAAATAGAAGCATGGGTCATCACAACAAATTAATGAACCTAAAAATAATGGTTAAACACCACAAATAAATTGACATAGAAGCATGGCTAACCACATTGATTTAATGAACTTAGAGGCATGTTTAACTAATGGCTGGATTTAATGAGATTGGGCAGACTTCCTCCTTTTATATGAAGTGTTGTCAGCAGTGGAGTAAAAACAGCAGAGAGGTCTGAGATGGTTCTGTGCGGTGGACGGGTCTGTGGGCGGGAGCTGGTCTCACCTTGGAGGAGACGATGCGGTTGTCAGGGTAGCGCTGGGGGATGTAGGCTTCTGCTCCTGGAGGGGGTTCTTTGTGTCCGATGTACACCGTCCGACTGTCCACCCAGGGCTCCTCCCCCACACACTGCACAAACAGATAGAAATAGCATTACAGGTAGCTCTAAAAATGGGTTACCACATTATTCATCCCAGGGAGCGTGTGGCGCGCCATAACCTACATATTACCATCATTAGCCCACTAGTCCCGCAGTGAAGGACTTATTTTGGAATTATGGAAAGTCGCACATTTTCATAAAGGCCACTAGATAAGTACACGTTTGTAGATGCGCGGAGGCGGGACAGCTCTGAGTCACACAAGAGCAGATTTGTCATTCTTCTTTTTGAGGACCTGCCTGCAGCCTGTATTTTATTCTTTCTATTCAGAGAGTTTGGAAATAACATAAAAGAGAATATTGAATTATGCAAGTATTCCATCACAGCAGATCTCTCACCTGCACTATGTTACTACTAAGTGCCTCCCCAGGGAAAACAAAAGCGTTCATGGGAGTTCTTTTGTGTTTTTTGTGTTGGCATAGTGTAAAAGTAAGGATTAAACGCACAATATTCCAGAGAGTGTGTTTTAATCATACAACCGCACTGCTCCGAGATGTTTAAACTGCGTAAAAAAACATGGTCAAAACACTCACACGCTCATAACTATACATGTTCTCTTCGACAAGGCCAAAACCCAGCAAAAGCTCGTTAGCAACCGTTGTCATGACCAAATGAAGTCACACACACAGAGAAAGAGCCAAGTTTGCTTCATTCAACTCAGATTTCTACTAACATAAATATTTCAAATGTTCAGCAACTTATTCAACACCCTAAGGTGCAATAGACCTTCAAAAGTAACTTTAAACTCTTTGTGCTCAGAGCTGTTGCTATGGTGACACCTCAGGCAGAGTGATATGGAACCTGTCATTCAACGTGAGGAAGAATCAATAGTTACCGTTGCAATCCTCACTGATCATGACTTAAATCTGAGTAAACAATATGTGTTTAATCCTGGACTTTTCTGCAGCCGCTATAGTCAACATTTAGTATGACCTTTTTTTTATAAGTTAAGCTAAGTAAGTTATAGTTACTACTTCTACTAAGAAGAGAAATAACGGATAAGCACCACAACTGAATTAAAGTTAGAAGCATGGCTAACCACAACAAAATAAAGAAGTTAGAAGCATGGCAAACCACAACACAATTAGGAATTTAGAAGCATGGCTAACCACGACCAAATATAAATGTTAGAAGCATGGCTAACCACAACACAATAAATAAGTTAGAAGCATGGATAACCACAACACAATAAAGAATATAGAAGCATGGCTAACCATATCATAATAAAGAAGTTAGAAGCATGGCTAACCATATCATAATAAAGAAGTTAGAAGCATGGCTAACCGCAACAAAAGAAGGAAGTTAGAAGCATTGCTAACCACAACACAATAAAAAAGTTAGAAGTATGGCTAACCACAACACAATAAAGAATATAGAAGCATAGCTAACCACAACAAAATAAAGAAGTTAGAAGCATGGCTAACCACAACACAATAAAGAATTTAGAAGCATGGCTAACCACGACCAAATATAAATTTTAGAAGCATGGCTAACCACAACACAATAAAGAATATAGAAGCATGGCTAACCATATCATGATAAAGAAGTTAGAAGCATGGCTAACCGCAAGAAAAGAAGGAAGTTAGAAGCTTGGCTCACCACAAAACACATTGTCAAAACCCTCACACTCTCATAACGATTTGTGTTCTTTTCTACATTCTCAATATAACGTCTGAGGAAAAGCCAAGAGCCTTTGTAAGTCAAATGTAAAATAGCGATCTTATGTGTCTGGAATATAAGAACCAATAACCACTACTTCTACTGAGAATACAAACCTTCCTCCAATATTGTGCACACTGGGAGTTTTTGAAGGATTATCCCAATGTGTTTTTAACTGCAAATGGCAAATAACTTAATTTTAATCTGAATCCGAACATAGTATTCTGACACTGACACTAGCGAATGTGCCGATGAAGCAGAAAAGAATAAAGCATTTTCACACCGCTTTAACCATCCTCCACATTTTGGCAGCGGCGCCTCGTGCAAATGCCAGAAATCTAAACTAAACGCAATCGAGCCAGGCTATCAAAGTTCCAAACTAGTGCCCTACTTTGAGGTTAAAAGAATAAATCTGGTAACCTACGCAAGTGAGGGCCAAACATAGTAACAGTGATTAGCAGGCAGTTGGCAGGAAGGCAGAAATAGACATGCAGCCAACAGTGTCAACAGGCGGGAGGCATGAGACCCTCCAAAACATCAGCGTTCGGGCCCCGTGCAGTGGGAATACAGTGAAAGGAGAGATGGAAACAGAGGGGCCCTGCATACACAAGCATATCACAACAGATAAAAGTTACACAGCGCAGGATTAAAAATGGCATAGTGAATATTACTGTTATTACTATTGCTTTAAAATACACTGGTATGGCTTTCTTTTAAAATCATTACTGTTTGTTTGTTCATGTTTGTATTGTCTGTCTGTATGTTTTAAATTGGACCTAAAGTCTGTAATACTGATCAAATAGCAGTGGGCCATGCTCTATATCTACAAATGTCCTCATGAAACAGCACAAAACCACCTTTGTTTGTGTGGGTTGTATTTATATAGGGTCTATAACATTCCGTATTTAAATAAATCTCACTTTCTTATTTACCTATAGTGCTTTTTCTTTCTCTCCATACACAGTGGTGATAAGTTACGACTGTAGCCACAGCTGCCCTGGGGAACAGACAGAAATGTTGCAACTAAGGACACAACATTTTGGCACTTTACAGCCGTAGCCACCCCACCGTAGCACCAGGTGTCTCCCATCCCAGTACTAACCAGGCTCTGCCCAGCTTAGCTTCAGAGGTCTGACAGGATCTGGCTTTCACATGCAGCTATGGCCACATAAATAAGTTAATTGCACATCAGAATGTCGCTTCCACAGCAGCATTCACATGTGTAGGCGACAAAGCAGTTTAAAGGTTTAAGATGAGAAAAATGAAATAACGTGATCCATTGTTTCAGCCCAAAACGACAGAATTACATAATAAAGCATTTTTAACTTTTGCAGAAACTGTGATTCATCCTCACACTGCTCTTATCTGTCAGATCTCTCCTCAGTAGATTGTGATGCTGTCATATTCCCGCTAGTTCTATTTCCTCTGCATTGTTCCGTGTATCTGTGGCCGAGCGCGTCTCACTCTCTCAGTGGAGGACGGAGATGGAGACCAGCGCATGCAGAGATTGCATTGTGCTTTGGTAGTTATCTGATCATTAATCCTCACTGATCCGTATCCAGGCCGGCTCCACACTCCCCTCTCCACTGCTCGGCTCCGTGAGACAAAGTGGCTGGATGGTTGGTCGCAGGACACCGAAGCTTTGTCTTTATTAAGGACTGGAAAAAGACCTTTGGGCGATGAGACTCCTCTTACATCACTGTTATTCATCAGCATTGAGGGGTGAGGGGGTGGGTGAGGGTAACACTACATATCAGGGCAGTCATATTCAAATAGGGCTGTGCCAAAGTATTGATATTGCATAACACACTGGTCCCTTGTCTATTGTTGTGGGGGTTATGTTTAAATAATACACTGCAAAGTATAGACGAGCAGTTCACTTGATTTCAGTGTGTTTATCTAATGACACTGTTATTTGGACTTTTTTACTAATGCAGGAAGAAGATACTTAAAATAATATTACTTCTTATTAATATTAATTTAGTGTTTCAAGAAAGTGTAAAACTCATGTATATTATCACTTTTTTAACATGTACATTTCCTGTCTTTATGCACACCCTGAGTGACCTTTGTTATGGCCAATGTGACACATACACTTATCCATTTTGAGATCATAAAGTTTGATCTAATCTTAGTAAAACCACTCACACAACTATTTGAACTCACGACTGTTGAAGTGCGATCATGGAGATATAAAATCTGTTGGTTGTGGATTAGAGCGCTGCTGCAGCTGTCAAAAACCGTGTTAGAGGGACGTTCTCTCAGCTGGCCTGGGCACGCCTTCCCCTGGATGAGCTAGAGGAGGTGTGTGGAGTGAGGGAAGTCTGGGCGTCTCGGCTCAGACTTTACAACTATTGTCCTAAGATTTTTATTTTTTATTATTATAAAAAATAAAAATATATTATTATATTATTTATTTTACCAGGAAATCAAATTTTTAGTTTAGAGATGAAAGCAAGAGACAATGGGTAATAATTAAATTTGAATATAAACCTGTAAACGTGTCAATAATACCTGCCTTTGAGCACAAATACATTGTACAGAAATTCACTATTAAAAGTAATATACAGACTCATATTCATTAAAAGTAATTGTAAAACCTCAATGTAAAAAGTAGACACAAAAAGCAAAAAACAAAAGTTTGGATGGGAATTATTGTGATACATCAATGACATTGTTTATGATTAATATATAATAATCGCAGTTAAACCATAAAGTGATAATATTGTCTCATGAGGAACCCTGAGATTCAAACACATTCTGTTGTATCAGGCTGACTTTATGTTCCGCTCTATATGTTGAGATTGTGCCAATGAAATAACCTTCAGTAAAAGTTGCACTTAGCACTTTTCCAAAAGCAGTGATCGCCCGACCACAACCAGTGAAGTCATTGGCTTATCTCTGCCGCACACGGGGCCTCTCGATGTGGCTGGGGGCCAGGTATCTGGGTGATACGGGGACATAGACCAACACATGGCAGATTCATCAAACACGATGATGGAGCATGAGTTTAAGTCAGAACTGGTCCTCTTTAAAGCAACATTCAATAAGCCACCTAAGCTAATATTCAGAGTAAAGCTCAAAGGAAAATAAGAAAGTTAAGAGGGGACGACCAATTTATTGCCCGATTGTGAAGTCTCGGCTTTAAGAGATTTTTTTCATCGGAAGTTACTGCCTCTACATTTTAAAAGCTCTGAATCTGCAGAATTGTTCTATTTACAATCCACAACCCGTATATTATTGATACTTGTAAAAGGTCTATGTAGTAAAGCAGCCCTTAAGATCTTAAGTCTACACTGTCATCCAGCCAAC